TCTTTGGACCACATGTAACGGCCACAATGCAGACGTCAATGCTTGGGTAGTCGTTTCACGTTTTCCCGAGTTCTTGTACCTTTTCTATTCTGTGCGCAAGAAAGAGTCTCGTTAGCTTATTCATATAAGAAACATTCCACTGTGCAGTGAAATACTTTCTACAAATATTGGCACATTAGCTTTCTAGTAGGCGATATTTTGCCATTTGTGGACCTTAATTTAACCGATGTAAGCATGCAGTTGGTTGTAGGGAAGTCGTATGTATTCGAAGCTCAATGTTCTTCGGTGCGTAAAGACCCACTTCAGAAATGACTCGACGTCAACTTGAAGTATTTTAATATTGGGTCACAAGCTAAGGAGTGTAAGCTTGACATTCATTGCCGGGCATCATAACGCCCCTGATCAATATGAAAAACCTAATTTCGTTGAACAGATGCAGCCAAACATGTAGACAGGGCTCGTCGCCGTCAGATTTTCTTCAGTGTACTGCAGTTGCCTCTTTTCAGCTGTGCTATGGGAAGACTACAGAACTAGGAAGATAAGAATCTGTTGCTGTGCACTCGAGGAGCTATTGGTACTGGAACAGGCTTACGTATCTCATGGATATTAGGTGTTGATCGTCCGACAACGCTGCACTCTTATACCCCTTACAAAATAGTTTGACCTTGCATCCCGGTTGTTTTCAAACCTTTGGGAAACCATGAGTTCTAGATTGGTTCCAAGTATTTTCCAAGTTGTTGAAAGTCAGCTGAAGCCTATTTCTTAAGCCACTGAGTCGCAGCGGTCAGGGCTTTCATCTTTCGTTTAGCAGCCATGGTCGACGATCCGACTGTCCGCCTAGGATACAATGACTTACTATGTTTTTGGATTTGCATTTGGATGATTCAAAAGTTGTTTAGAGAATGTTCATAGTGAGGAAAGTGTGCATATGTGGGAAATAACTTAAAACTTGTGCAAGGTGTGCTTAAAAATAAACACTTCTAGATAGCTGCAGTGAAAAACTAAGGATATTAATTTCGGTAGACGTTTGAAGTACGCATCGAATTTTCAGTCTGAATAAAAATCTCTAATTTTGGTATACCCCAAAGCAGAGCGCGACCAGCTAGTTCGAGATGAAAAGCCCCAACCTGCATCTCCATGTACAACGATTGCCTGACAGATGTTTTATCCTAGGAATAATATCCGGGTTGGTTTGATAGACACCTGTAGCTAAAACAAGGTGAAGAAAATGGATTCCACTGTGATCAGGATAATTCAAACTGTAGAGCTTTGTCTAGCCTGGTGAAAATGGTACAAACATTCGGTTTTATGGAGGATTCTCATGGCAACTTCTTCATCGCTACAAGACGATTAAGAGGCTAATGTTTAGGCCAACACAAAGTGTGTTACCTGGGGGCTGTGTGTAACCACTGACCGCGTTTAGCATTCATTTGCGCAAACACACGTTGCTTTCTGGACTCGTCTGCTTCCGTCTTTTAGAACCGTCATTTATGCAGCTCTCGGAGGTGAGAAATTAGTTGTGAAAGCATCGTAAGTTAACCTACATGCACAAGTTTTGGTTACATCGCGGCAAACGTGAGTTCAGGTCCTCCAGCTTGTTGAGCGGGTGCGCCTCCTTTAAGTGGGTTCAAACGGTGTACAATTCTATATACATTTTTAAACCGTAGGTAGTTGCCGGACTGTATTAGGGATCAATGCCCTCACACGTACAGTAACTGTGCAGAAAATATTGCAAATGATTGCTAACCACTGTCAGTGACAGTGGTAGATAGGTGGTGCTATATCCCAGTTAGTTTGCAAATTATATACTCGAGTCGGCTTCCCCCGTGGCTCAGTGTCTTAAGCTGCTGGCTAGTTGTCATCTGCCTCTAGCGGTCATGGGTTCGATCCTCCTTAGAGGACCGAGGGAATGCGCGGCACTGACGAGCCCCAATAGGGCGAAACACGTCTGGTGTTTTTCCGGACTTGGTTCTGCTATGTAGCTTGTGAATTATTGGGATGAAAGGCATATCAGTAAAATTCAAATGATATGATATCACAGAACTATGATATAACTCACTGGCCCCTGTGCCTAAGGACCACAACCGGTCTTGCAATCCGAGGGCGCTGGTTCGAGCCTACATGGGGACTAAATAACTTTCGCAGTATCCTTAACCAATGAACGGCTGGTAGTTGTTACGCTGGAGCAAAGCGTCGACACTGCGGACCTGCGTACTTCTGATGCCATCTTTCTTTATGAAATAACTCAATACCGCCCTTTGGCACATATACTCCATGGTCCATAGAACTACAACAAACGAATTGCCTGGAAAACGAACTACTCAGACAACGAGCCACTATCCCAGAGGACAACACTAATGGCTCAGCTTACGGATAGGAAAAGTATAAAGTTCGGCTGTATGCACCTCCAGATCGTATGTTGAATTGTTTAAATAGTAAAGGGGAGGTACAGAGAAGGCCAGACACAAAGACGTAGAGCAATGCGTAGTCCAGAAACCGCTGGTCAACCTTAAAAAATTAATGGTTGTAATCAGGAGTCTTTTGTCAAACAGCACACATATTGGTCATAAACAAAAGGAAGAATCTGAGAAACGTATTGTATGTGGACTTGAAATAAAATGGCTAGACGCTCTAATAATCGGGTGAGAAGAAAACACAGAAATTTGCTTTACTCGTACCAGGAATGTAAATCGGAAATCATCAAATCACATACAAAGTTATGGTATCCGACAACTTGCCTTTATGGGAAGTCTTTCATCGGGTTCTTCAAGTTCCAATGAGGATAGTGACTCGATGGAATGGCTTTCTCTGGGAAAAAGCGTACTGCCGCTGAACGATGGCAGTGGTTGCTTGGAAGCGAAAACAGTAAATAATACAATGGTTTCAAGGCTTCATGTTAGGCATTATAATTACAACACCCCTTTCTTGTTTTCCGCACTTGCGCTTTACTACTGCGTAGTAGGGATGTTGGTATAATTTTAAGGTATATCGTTGCAGTGCCCTCTCGGACAGCCGGTTTTGATACGTCTGGAAGAACACCAGGCAGCTGTTTTGATCATCTGTGTCTTGTTGGTTGTGCGCCTTCCTAGGATAAGTGCCGGGATCCGACCCGAGGACTTCCGGATGCTACCAGCTTGTGCCACTAAGTCTTGGGAGACGGCTGCTGAGGTGCATTACTGATATTTGACTACGATATAGCATGTCTCATCCTCCACTGCCGAGCCAGTTGTGAGCTGTGCAGAGGAAAGTGGTTGGCCCCACGGAGCTAGAACTTTCTGCATAGCGACTATGCACCACACAGCACTTAGAAGCCACGTGGACGGAGTTTGTACTATCAGTGAGTAGTGGGGATGCTGATATACTTTCAGAGGTATTTCGTCACAGTATTTCTCAGTCGGAAGACTTTGACACGTCTTCAAAACCATCAGGCAGCTCCTACGACCTTCTGGGTCTCGTTAGTAGTGCGCCTTCCTCGGGTTCTGATTCGGTAAATTCCAGAAGACAGTAGCTGGTGCTAGCTAGCGCTATTGAAATGGCAAGGAAAGATGAGCCTGGCTATATTGTAGTCAACTGTCAGTCATGCAGCTCCACGGCCGTCACCCGTGTCTTAAAGGCACTAGCTGCTAGCATCCGGAGGTAATGGGGTCGGAAACCGGCATGGGTCTAAAGCATGCGCAATAGTTGAGGTTTAGTTCGCATTGTGTGTTATACTCGATAGGTTAGCTTAGAGTGCGTCATCGACGGTAACTTCCGGTGATATGCGGCTTCACACAGGAAGAATGGTAATTCGTTTCCATTTCGATAGAAGGGAAATTCTGGACCACATCTGTCTGGTAACCATACCCAGTGTCTGCAAGGCAACAGCCATTTCTTGCGAACTGATAACTCGCGATTGACTACATGTTTAGAAATCAGCCAAATACACAAATGAACAGTGAGAAGACAACTGCAGTTACTAGTTCAGTATGTAACTCCGGAAGATGATACATGCCAGCCTGATCCCATTTTATATAATTCTGGTCCCATTTTCTTACCTTGTGAAACTGACATATGGGAATTATCGCAGTGAAGATTGTTGGCAGTGTTATGGGGAATTTTTCATTTGAGGTCAAAGCGTTTCATGTGGGGTAAGGTTACAGATAGTTCTTTGTGATCACTCTGGATAAACATGCTCTCTGGTTACACATCTCTTAATTTCAGTCAATTTTTCACCTCATAATATCAGCTTCGTCCAGGGCTCAGATTATTTAAAACTACACCACTTGTGCGGTGAGGGAATTTCAAGATCAGTGATGTGGGACGAGGTTGTAATTTTAATGCACCGGTTTGACTAGCATAGTATAAGGTATAAGCGCTGTGATTCGCTAACCAAAACAGTGCTAACGCAACGTCACAAGATCCAGCTGAGAGGGTATGTGCCCAGATTTCATGCGATCTTCCAACGCCTTGGTAACTTGAAAAATCTCTGGACACAAGCGATGTGCATATGTTGTTGGCTTTTAACTGATTTTCGCCTTTCGCGAGCAATCTAATTATTTTTGTGGATGTACGCCATTTCACAGTGAATGAAAAGCAAGTGAGAGAATAGCGAAAGGAAAATTCAGAATTGTCACTAATGCCTGTAGGCAAGAGAGCGACACGTGGTGGAACAACAAACAATGTTTCCTGCACTGGAGGAAAAGTTAGCGCAGCGGGTTATGGAGTCACGGTACAGCAGGGTTAATTGTAACCCGAACGTAGGTTCGGCTCAGAGCGCTCACAATGCGCACAATGCGCACCGTCTAATTTAGTCTTGAAGAAGGGTGGCAATGTAAAAATGTTGACATTGTTACAATTACAGAGTGGATGAAAGAATCGTGGCTGGATATTCCATCAGAAATTATCGTACGATCCTTGAAAAAGTGCTGCATCAGTAATGCTATGGGTGGAAGTGAGGACGATGCCATTTTTGAGGAATAGGATAATGACAAGAGCAGTGAATTTGAAGAAAATGATATTCACCCCGTCGTCCCAACGACAGACGACCATTACCAGAAACTGGTTAGAGATTCTGACTCGGATTCTAGTTTCGCGGGTTCAATTAATTTAAATAACATTGTGCAGCTTTTAGATATGTGAACCCATAAAATCTACAGCTACATGCTGTTCTGTCATGTCTATTTTCCCATATTATTGACTAAATAAATAAAATTTCATTATCATATGTTTCAAGGCACTCCATACAGGGTATGATCAAACATGTACAAGTAATGAGGTTTCGCAAAGTTCAGGATAGTTTAGGTGCAGAAACGTGAAACGTAAAATGTACTCGTGAGAAGCGACCTAGTTAGTGCTGTGTTGATAATGAGGGAATGGAATATGTTTAACTAGGGCAAGTAAACTTGTGTGTGTTTTAATCAGAATTAGTGGTATGTGAAACAGGGAGACTTGAGAGTGTAAGGCGAACAGCAGTGACTTTATTTGGTGACGAGTCTCATCCGCCACGTCGCAGTGTTGTTAAGCAGACATTTGTGTGATGCTGTTCGATTATGTATAATCAGTATGTTTCTGTTACTTCCGTCTGTCGCTGGAGTCCTATGTGCAACATACCGCGAATTTTCGACACAAACATACTAATGAGTAGGATAAGGTTTAATTGTAACTGTAATCTTTTCGTCCCAGCTGATCACAAGCTACAGAGCACAGATTAGTTCGGAAAAGCACCAGACCCGTTTTGCCTTATTAGAGCTCCACAGTGGTGCGCATCTTCTCGGTTCCCTACAGGGGCTCGAAAGCAGGAGCGCTAGAGGCAGATGCTAACTCGCCAGCAACTTAAGCCACTGAGCCATGGGATACGGCAGCTTGGCTACACAATTTGCAAGCTAACTGGGATATAGCACGACCTATCTTCCACTGCCACGCAGGTTACTACCTTAGCAGATGACAGTGGCTAGCCTCCGAAGGTCATGACTTTCTCTCACTAGACGCCACGTCCACAGCATTTGAAACTAGGAGAGGCTACACATTATATTACTAATGATTAGGAGGGTCTTTTAATTGTAAAGTACTAACCGGTGTGGCAATGAAAGATAGAGCGTGCTATATCCCAGTTAGTTTGCAAATCCTGTAGCCCAACCGACGTCACCCATGGCTCAGCGGCTTAAGCTGCTGGCTAGTTAGCATCTGCCTCTAGCGGTCATGGGGTCGATCCCCAATGGGGTACCAAGGGAATGCGCACCAATGACGAGCCACCATAGGGCGAGACGCGTCTGGTGCTTTTCCGAACTAAGCTGTTCTACGTAGCTTGTGAGCACCTGGGACGAAAATATTACAATTACCAATATAATATATCTATATATAGGCACTTCAACTCCCCGCCAAGGACTCCATCCGTCACTAGGGAGTGGTGCTATGTCAAGATATGAACGTAGGCGTGCAGCGAATTTCGGAGTGGATTTTGCATGTAGTTTCTTCAGATTGTGCGTAACCTTTGTATAAGCTGACACCCGCCCCCTCAATACAGACTTGGAACATTGTCCAAAATTCCTCGGCTTATACATGGTAATATACGGTAGTCACCTGTGACCACCACATGCTCCGCGGACAGGCCGGAGGTGCATCCTGTGCCGCGAGCTTCTAGTCATTGATGCGAGCGCCGATGTGTGTTATCGCATAACGCATTCATGATTAGATGGGGTCACCAGCTACGGCTTGGCAACCTGTTTGACTACGCTGCGTCGGTTACTCTTACCCAAACAGCTAGCTACCCCTAAATGCTGCAGTCGAGTGCTTAAGGTCAACTGCAGCATTTCAGTAACAGCCCTGAGTTTTATCCATTTACAGAGGGATATTTTCCCATGGATATGTTTTTCCTGTATATCGCTACATCATTGGCTAGGATATTGATCACCACAATTGTCATCTGGTCTTTGACACGCGGTTTCTGAAATCGCCAGCCTTCCACTCTGAGTTCACGAAGGACATGTATAGGCACGCACATAAAATACACAAGTCTGCACTCCTCTAATTACTTCGCGCAAAATCCAAATTCGTTCCAATTGGACTCAACAAGCAAGGAGAACCACGAATGGGGTTTAAAAGTTTGGCGAAATGATTTTTTGGACAATTCCTTCAACGCTAGATTTTTATGCTGCTCATGGGTTGCGGCCGCTAGAATGCTAGTGCATAATTTTAAAATGAAGCTAGGCTGTCAGTTGAGTCAGTACTCTGGGTGTACATTGAATAACGTACTATATTGTAGATGTGAATCGTGTTATTTAGACCCAAAACATGCTTACCTGATGGAGGCAAATGGTACAAGCATAGTGCACAGCTTTGAGTTAACGTACTACTACTACTAATAACCATAATAATAATCATCAGCTGTGCGCCGTAACAGCGCTTCGCAGCAGCGCGACAACCAACAATCGGTTGCGGGTTCTGTATACCGGATGTACGCAAACGACTACGCGGTTTCGAACCCGGTGACCTTATGCTTGTAAGCCAGGCGTGCAGACCACTGCACCACCTACAAACTTAGGGTCAAAGTATAAGGAATAGTCGTAGGAGACCACTTGTGCATACCTGATTTAGATTACGAATATCCACGTGGCTTTGTTGCGTTGTGCCTAAGGGACCGCTTTCTTTTTGTCTCGGGAGGCGCCTCCGCAAGGCGTGTAGAGAAGGTAACATCTTCCATCCCTTTTCCTTCAGCAAACAGCTGTGGACGAACAGTGTGAAACCCTGAGGAGGTGCAAACGGAAAATTTTCGCAATCAGTCTTACGAATGCATTGCGATGAAACATTTTCTACTATAAAACAAAGAGCGGCGCAATATTCGCTACGCGTCTTAGAATGGGTTTTGGGGTGCATAGGTGGAATACAGATTTTCAGAACTCGATAGGCTGCATTAACTCCTGCAATTGATTCAAACAGTTGTGATATTCCGCAACCTAGGAATCCGGTAAGATTCCGAATTGAATCCTATCAGTGTAAAGATGGGTGAACATTGCGTTTTGAATATCTTAAACGAGAAATCTTAATTCATAGGTTGCCGTGCTCGCTGGTTTTCTCTCAGCTTGATGCATATTAAAGAGGTTATTTGAGTACCATGGGTCAAAAAGGTTATAATTGTAATCTAGTAGATATACGAAGTTGTCCGAGCTTTTGGCGCAATAATCTACAAAGCATTAGTCTTACACTGTGAATTTGAGCGACAGATACAGAATGTTGGATTTCATCCACACAAACAAGCACATGTGAATGACACCACAGTTGGATCCCTCGCCCAGACGTAACTCGCGCTGTGCAATTACGCTTAGGGAAGCCAAAGTAGTGTTGTACCGGCTCGGAACTGCTGTATTCTCTGCCCATAAGCGTTCAACTGGATATCCTTGTTGAGAATGCAATGTGGTGCAGACGAATGGTGCAGCAGAGATCCCATTTCTAGCAAAGGGGCTGGTTGCGCCTTTCCTTCCTGCTATCTTTCTGACTCCCCGATCTGTTGCGTCGTTACACTCACAACGTCTCGGTGAAGCTTGATTAGTGCTCCACGCATCCTTTGTCCTCAGCTACCTATGTTTTCTCTGATTTCCTCACGCCTGCACATCACTACAATTGTACCACACAACTAGCGGTCTTCTATGGGTTCACATAGTAACATTCGGTGCTTGGAAAGTATAAAGTATGTCAACTGACACGAGCCAGCCGCTGCATCATAGAACCGCGTCGCTATTCCATGTGGTATCTACTGTTTTTGATACCATCGGTATAACATTCCAATAAAAAGTGAATACACTATTTTGTCTACTGTATCAATGTCTAAAATAATTAGTGCGAAACACCAAATGTTTCCTGAAGGAATCCAAGGACCAGTGAAACGGTAAACAATGGATTCATGTTCATGTCCAAGAAGCGTCATAGCCTGTCGTTATTCAGTTTGCTGAGGCTCACACACGCCAGTTACCTTAGGTGCATGTAACTTAATCGAAATGGACGAATCAGAAACAAATGGCTTATCTGGTTTTTAATGGATTGCGACGAGCCAAATGAATTTAACCAAACCCCTCTTCTCATGAGTAGTCACACATTAATCGTTGCCATCCTAAAAACGACGTATGAATTCACAGCTATTAGGAAAGAAGTCTTGACACTCGACGGCTAAACACTTTTCTCCGCAAGGGTAGTGACCTGCTTAACAGTGGATGATGGGTTGCACTATCTCACAGCAAGATTTTTATTTATGATACTCAGCTGTGGTCCCCAATGGCTCAGTGTCACCAGCTGCTGGCTAGTGGTGGAAGCCACCGGCGTTTGTGCGTTCGGTTACCTGAAGGGAATTGAGGTTATGCGCACGACGGACGAGTCGCGAGAGGATGAAGCGGATGTCTGGGTTGGTAGGTGGCTTATCTGGCTTGCCATCGAATTTCGGTGAACTAACTAAAGCAACATTATTCGTCCAAGCAACCGTTGAGTCCACTATGTATGATCAATATAGTGGGAGAAGACGCCTTCGATTGATCCATGCGACTAACAGAGAAGGCATGGTGATAAGGACCCACTACGTAAACACTACTTTGGCCTTGAGCTGCATTTTCAAATGCAAAGAAAGCTACCACTGTAAATTCGTATATTACTTCACGGGCAAATGCTTGCGTATTAGCAAAGATTCTGCACACAGAAGACAAGTACGGTGAACTATCAGCCGAGTACAAACAACTCACTTGAACGGTGTTGCAGACTACAAGACTGGTCACCACTATGCTCATTTGTTTGCCAATGTGTCCATTGTGTATGAGAATTCCGCCGAGAATTAAACTATGTACGGTGTTCATGACGACCCCCAAAACCTCCGTCCAGTACTCAGTTCCGAATAGGTATAGATAAGCGGAGATGAGGATCAATGTGACTAATCCAATTGTGACATTTGGGATTGCCCATATGTTGCGAATATTTGTGGGAAGACAACTAGAATGAGAATGAAGTTGGTTCTAGGTGACTATTATCGCATGCGGTGACGTATCAACAGAAAACGGAACACACAACTCCAGTTTGATATGAAATAGTTAACGAACGACGAATACTCAATACAACCCTGACGCCAGTAACACCTATTTGGGCATACGTACACACGAATTTAACACGTATAAAATTTCTATTTTACTAATGAGTGGAAATATTTATGTGTAAATTTTGCCTAGTCTTCCCGCCAGCTTATAACTTACATAGATCGACTGCTGATACGGTAAAGCACCAGACAATATGCCAATTGGACTTCGGCAGTGGCTCGCATCATCGGGTTCCATTGGGAACAGAACTCACAACCGTTAGCAGCTTGGGCAACTTGTCAACAACTGATTCCATTGAACTATGGATTTGGAGATAGCCGGCCATCAAGTCTTACAATATAATTGCGCTGCAGTTATTACACTCGCATAGGACAGCGGCTGGCCTCTAAAGAACACGACATCCACTCACAGTAGCAATGAGGATATGGCATTTGGATGTTTCTATGGATAAACTTTGCCTAATCACTGCTTAACAGCCAGTCGAACTGATTAGTAGGATCTAAAACTTTGTTGTTTGTATTACGAACAAGTGATTCTCGATTTCGGAAATAAGGGAAATAGGAGGACGGAAAATGCGTGGACAGAAGATTCCAGATTAAAATAATTCCAACCCCAACACCCATGGATCTGATGGACTTTAAGGAAATAAACGTCTGTCATGGAGTCACATTTAGCTAAAGGCAGCAAAGCATGGAATTTGATCACATTGTGCTCTTCTCACTTGAAATAGCACATCGTCAAGTTAAACTAGAAGGTATGCAGAGGATACTGGCCTAAAGAATCACGTGATCAGAGGACAACCAAAGCATATTGCGGTGATGGCAATACAAGCTACATGAAGCACCAGTCTTGGCTCGTTCGTGATTTATTCATCAGCACTCTTCATCTCATGCAAGGAAGTTGAACGCGTTTTCTCCAGACACCCCAACAGCCTTCGTGAAATGTGGCGTATGCATGTACGAACTTGTGCACTTGCGCAATTGGGCACTGATTTGATTTCCTAATGATAAAGTTTAGAGAGAAGTTGATGCGTTTCCCCGCTGCTGCTTGACAATACATTCAGCGAACAATATGGGTGGAGGCAGTTGTGAAGACAGCAAGTGTAAAGATCCGTTCGAATGTGTCAGGCGGATTCATTGGCGATGTACAGTTAGCTGTGACAATGGACCAAACCGTAGAGCGCATGAGTCCACGCAGCAACCTGAATGCACTGGACTGATTGCACCCTATTTAACACGTGAGCCTTGGCGCAATAGCGACATCCGAAATGCCGGTTCAAAGTAGCTGTTTGTCAGCAGCGGTGGCGAAACGTGTGCATTATTCGTGATAGCGCTACCCACTGCTTCGGGCATTCGAAATGCCGGGAACTAGCGCTTAGTTAGCAAACCGGATACGCGCTTTGTTGTAGAACCCGCAGGTATCAACGTTTCGCAGTATGTTGCTTACGAATCAGCCGCATACCACATTTAAATCATGCCAATGCCAGCAAAACGAGAGGGTTTATCAACCCGTGTGCGCGCTGGTGGCGAGAAGGCTAGCTGTGAAACAATCGTACTGTCTATTCCTCTACATCAAAGTACATTCCCATCTTTTCGCGGCGTACACCGGGAGAGTGTTACAAAAAGTGAACCAGTAGTTATCGATGCTACGATAGAAATTGAGGAGTTATCTAGCTACTGTCCGCTGCAATGCCACCAGCCTGTGATTGACTACAGATATGATGTTAGATAGTCAGAAGGTCTTAGCAGTTTCGAGGTAAAGAATGACCTATGTTTGCCGAACCCAACAAACATGATTCAAGTATTGTCAGCAAAGATATGTTGACAAATCCATATTACATGTATGATTGTATATACTGGATGGGCTTACTTTATGTTGAACGTCTGATAAGGTATGATGATATGGAGGAGAGTAGCCTCGGCACAGCTCAAACCTGTGAAATGAGGGATGTCCAGTGTTGAACACATAGGATGAGAATGCTAGCGTGGTAACTAACATTGGATTGTGTTGCAAACCCGTGTTCACTCTCTCAGCCAGTGAAGGAAGCAACAGTTTTAATGGGTGTGGTCAACTTTAAAAAGGAATCTTATGGTTTTAACCGAGAGATTAGATGTAGTGGTACAATTCTGACTGCCCGAAAACGTCTTGATCTCCCCAGTTTCAAAGTCCAGATGGACAAAACGAATGAGCGCATGGTTCATATGAAACAAGCAACCAATTGCTAGGTGTTGTTCCGGGTTAGCATACAGTACATTCAGGTAACAACTCGTACAGATGAACAGAGGGGTCACTCTGTGCACCTCTCGTTGCATATACACTTCTATCAATTTGGTCTAGTTTCTTTTTGAGTTGTTGTGAATATTGCTGTCGTCTGGTCTGGACTCGTCAACCCCTGAATAACCCCTTCAGATTCAGATTCAGATGGGACTAGAACGATAGGAAATTCCCTTGAGTGTTCATTCTTTAGCGGATTATTGTACCAGGAAATGATAAGATGTCAAGAGGTCTTGATGGATCTAAAATGAAACACATAAACCACATCCTGGTCAAACAATTACTGCCCACGTTCAATGCACTAGCAGTCTCCGCTGTGTAGGTCAATTGAAGTAAGGAAGACGTAGAAAGAAAATGGAAGATAAAGAGGAAGGAAAGTCATTTGAAGGAAGGATAACAGCAACGAGTGAGGAGAATGACGGAATATGAACTCAAAGTTGGAAGATGGATGTAGTCAGGAGAAGGGAAAGGTTTCCTTCAGCAACTTAAGGTTGTTACGTTTAAGAAGCGGTAAACATTGTCCTATGGCTTGCATGGGAGCTGGTTTGACCAACTAGGCTAGAAAATGACCTATGGTGTGATAAATCAGGTTCATAACTAGTACTGAATATATGTGCGTGGGAGTGATGCTGCGTTCCCTTGAGTGGTACTCAAGGCTAATTGCATCATGGCTACACACCCAACATGCCTGTGAGTTGCTACGTGACTTTACGTCTGGAAGACGTCTTGATCTGGTGTTAAGCGTTAGAAAATCGGCGTTGCTATTAGACCGTTATTTGCATATTACCAACCAAGGACCAGTTTACTGAGAATCTTATATATACTGCAACATGGCGCCCAGTGAGCCCGATTGAAATATTCACTAAGGTGATTCTTCCGATCTGAACAGACGTGCAATCATGTAAACTTGAGGGTAAATTTCGCTTTTGCCTGTACTATATTGCCAGGTTCTCGCACAATCTGATTGTATTTGGCTATGCATACCACAGAACGGTATAGCTGATTAAGTTGTCCGGTATTCAATTCTACCCTTAGACGAACTCTATGTTGAGAACTAATACAACAGAATTATGCCGCAGTCCCAGTGTAGACCAATTGGAGTAGCTGTGAATAGGGAACCTTGAGGGCATATATGAACGGTACTTCACCGCAGCTTCCAAGTCAGATGGTCCTCCGCAAACAAACGAAAAATCACTAGGCGGCCTCTTCGTTCCCATCGGACTTGTCACTTATGCATGTGCCTTGACTCCGTCTTGATACGAATCTATGACCGCTAGTGGTTTGCGCCACTAGCCAAGATGTCCTACCAATGCGACATGGGGAAGCGCTGTGTGTCGCTGTGACTTGCACGCTAAGTAAGATGTGGCGTGACTCCTTGTCTACTGCCGCGTAAGCTAAAAACGCTGCAGTGGAATGCATTGTCCTCACGAGTCGTGGCTTGCACTAACGATGGAGGTGTGAAGGACTAACTGGCTTGAAGGTCACGGCGAGGAACATCCAATGAATTTGCTTGCAATAACTAGTTTTGTGCATCAGGATGAGTGAAGGCATCAGGTAGATTCGGTCAAGGCACAACAGCGCCCATGGGATCGTCTCAAGCACCACGTAGCCTCTCACAATTATTGCAAATTGAATTAATCTAAACGGCTGCTTAGAACTCACACGTTACAGGAAAAGATCCCGCCTTAGAAGTCTGGTTGCGTTAATGTTCACTAGGTAATGGGTTTAGACTGCATTGTACTCTCCTTTATTTATGCACTTAATGCATGTGCTGAAATAAAACAGCAATATATTTGCATCCAGCAATGCAACCAAAGAATTAAAGGTAAGCAAATGTTTAAGAATCCTTTGGACAAGTATTCGTCAGAACCTGCATCTCCACATAGCAGAGGTTGTGTGGTGCAAGCATCGGATCGGGTTGGTGGTTGATTTCTAAGCTGTTTAAACATACTGAATGATAGAAAAACGCAAATCGGTACGTGGAACGTAGTAGTATCCGTTGACCACAATGATAGTTACATCAGCCGTATGCGGAACCTGAGGTTGGTGTTGAATTCAGAACGCTTCTTCACCGCAGTTGGAATAAACAAAGCTAGACTTAATCTCGGTCTTTTTAATCTGGTTAAATGTCATTCCACTTTATTTGTTTTGCTCAATTCTGTTATCCTGTTGCATATTCTGTGTCAATTTTGCTTGTCTGCTTGCTGTTAATTTCCCCTGTGTGTCTGCGCTCGATGTGAATGTTGGCAATGTGCCTAACTGTCTCACACCAATCCACCTCGATTACTAGTTCCAGGAGACTGTGAATCGTGGCTGGGCGGGAGACGGGGTGCGCGGTCCTCTCGGCCTTCCTAGGCTCAAAGAGTGGTTCCATCCAATGTGGAGCGGACTACCGTCCAGCCACGGACTTGTATACGTCTGGCACGCATGATCCCCGTTTAGATGGACATCAATGCTCCTGCTGTGCATGTTGAAGTAATGTGAGCTGGCTCCGTTGATGAAACGTGGATCCCATCCGCATGCCTCCCGGTCTTATTCCTTCGGGTTTACACTGGATATGGGGTGTGGGGATAGTGTAGCGCAAGCCGCCCATGGTCCCTCTGTAGGCGCAGGCGTCCTCTGGCCGTCCAATGGAGGCCACAATGAGAGGCAAATCCGCAAACGGATGCACCAACAATGTGGAACCAACATACGCATAATCGGCTCCAGATTGAATGTATATTGCCTTGATAATAGAGAGTAGCTCTTTGCGGAATCCTTGCGGGAGGGCTTAAACGAATAAGTAAATGCCGTTGAAGTCACTCGCAACTACCGTATTGTCATAAGCAAACAAGTGTGAATTAATCGATATGTTAGATGATCTAGTTTTACCAGTATCTGTTAACAAATTCTCTGGGATAGACGCCACAGATTCATGCTAACTGGTCAACACGCACGGAACTGGTCTGTGGGTAGGAAGTCTATCTTCTAATGGTTCATTAGACAATAGCTTTTTGCAGAAACCATTTTCCAAATGGAATTAATGAGAAATACTGCAGCTCGGTGCACAAAGGAGGGTGCTATGTTCTTCCTCGAGCTTTGGTACCTTAGTCGTAGACTTCTACTTGTCAAGCTATACATACGCTGCTCTGAAAATCATGACCTGAGAGACACATTGACGATTTTGTATAGGTCAGCAACAAAACACCCAGAAGCAAAATTCCCAACTCGAAAATCCACACAGCGTTTTCTCTAACTGGTCGCTGACCACATGTTCTTTCCAGCAGCATTTATGCGTCTGGATAAGCTCTCATCGCTATGATGACATTTAATTAGCAAGTGCTTCAGAAGCTCTTACCGAAGTGGATTTTGTTTGTGTTGTCTCACATGCTTCAGCGTACATTTATCCTGATATCCATTGTCCATCAGCGTTTTGTGAATTCTCTACACTTCATAGTCAACGGTATCCAATTCGCAACTACTCCGCTCCCTAAAAGCAAGTGATTGGAGTAAACTCCCCTTATTCTGTAATGGCACTGCGCAAGTGTACTACCCAATCCATGTGTTTGAGGAGCACGTTTGTGCCGCAAGATCCGTCAACGGTACGAGCAACATACACATGTAAGTAATTTAAATCGTTTACAGTCTTGACTTTCCTATGCGTTCCGCGTCTGTTGTTCCATTGGACCACTTTTGGGAGGCGTATAAAAGCTGAACTGACTACCTAATTATGCTATTAATCGCATTGCACTAGGCTTCTTGGGTGGAGTCACCCACGACACGTCACTTATTTTTATAACTTCAATTTGATTACCAATTCTCTAAAAATTGCATGAATGCGAATATTCAACTGGTTGTGTATTCGTGACTAAAGACATGGGAGGTAAGGACCGGGCTTGTTGATGACTTCACTATGTCCATTTTTGGCTTAAGGAGGGATTCAATGGAGAAATGCTCATCACGCTTCTCCGTAAAAGGGTAACTTGGATCCAATCAGGACTGCGAACTACTAAGCAGCCGTGATCCCGTGAATCAGCAGATGTTCCACCTCACCTAGTAAACTGCCAGCGAGTGGCCAAGCCAATCGCTCACAGAAATATCATTGTTAGGCGGGGTATCAACTGGTCTTTTCTTGTACTTTAGATCCCGTTGGGTATTCATGCTTCGCGATAGTTTATGTACCCAGCTTTGTAGCACTTGTCAATAGATGATTCGGTAATTAAACCGTAGCTTCTCTAACTGACTTCATCGGTAAATGCGTATGTTTAAAATGTATTGTTTGGGTCACTTATTAGTTAACAGAATAATGCAATCTTACTCACCATACACGCAAGCAATGAGCCGAAGAAGCAGCCCCATAGGCCTGTGGCTGCGTCGTAACACATATAACATGACCGCGTGCAACAAGTTCATAAGTTCGAATGCTGTGAAGATGCCGAGCTGAATGAAACCAGCAAACTGCGGGACGGGATGAAAGATTACTTGTCTACTGGGTGAAGAATATAGAATAGGTACAAAAATAAAAGGGAGCTTCCCCAATACAAAGGCGAGCAGTGTACTACTGGGAGGCAGGTTGTCTGGAACGATAGAGTGCAATTGTTACTAAGGATGTTACGGCATCGACAAACACCTATACCACTCATGAGCTGATGGTAAAGTTAAACGCTAGTCTTATACCAGCTGATGGTGGGGTCACAAGTTCAATGACACGGCTGATGACCATGGTGTTGCCTTCATTCATGTTCTTTATGTACAAGAACTTACTGTGCCTTTAAGAAAAACACATGCACATCGGCAGCTTTGACAGTGAATTTCAACTGCTTTCCATGCCTCACGATAATAATCCGCCTCCCACTCCTTTTGTAGCCTGGCTTGACCGGGTAGCACGCACTTGTGTCAGTGCAAACGCACTGCGTGCATCTAATATTCTATTTTTTCACACGGTCAGACCTATCTTCCTGCACTTATATGTACAAAACATTTAAAAATTGCGGTGCAAGGGTTTATTGTTCCTCTTGATTACCCTTCATTCCCATTTTATGTTCAAGTTGTCACCAAAACGGAACCGCAGATGCAAATTGACTATTCATTCGCATTTGTTTCTTTAGGTTACCTTTGCTTACCAACACGCATACAGATTAGCACCCACACCTAAGCGCGTTGCTCAATATAGCAAGAGACGTGATTGCGCAAAATGCTCAGTTGTCCATCCTCCCAAGTTCCACGCTCCCACCCGTAGCTACTGAAACACAAATGTAATGTAAGTGCAAGAGATATGAAATTTCGAAAGGTCTATCGAAATCCTGTAGTGGATCAAGCTAATTGCCTTCAACTTGCAACCTTTCTTCGTTGGATAAGTACATCATCATTCTATTAAGGAAGTTGCAATTCTATCCTGCATCATCGAATAAGGTCTAATCACGTTATGTCAGTTTCTAAAATGTCCAAGTTCTCAACTATCACGGTGTTGAAGTAAACAACGTTTGGCATATTACCGAAGAGTAGTGGCGATTTTGGTAAAATTGATAGGTAAATCCTCATGGTCCACTCTCCGTACGCAGGCTTTGGCAAGTCTGGAAAAATAGCAGCACCTGCTTGTTGACAAATGACTATGTTACAGTCCAGCTCGTACTACACTGTCATGTCAGTTACAATGTGTGCAGAGGAGTGCACTTGGTTCCACGAGTTAGGAATTTCTGCATAGCGCCTGTGTACCACACAAAACTTAGAAGCCATACCGACCGATTTTATAGTACTCATAAGTAGTGGGGATTTTTGTATAACTCATAGTTTATTCCTCACGGTTCACTCTCAGTCAACAGATATTGGCAAGTCTGGAAAAGCACTAGCCAGCGCTGCTTCGACCTTTTGGGTCTCGTTGGTGGTGTGCCTTTCATCTACTCCACCGGGATAGGCACACATGAGCACTAGCGGTTTGCACTGTAAGTCAACATCTTTTATCACCGGGCGTATTTTTCCAATATGTAGATCAAAGTAATCACAAAAAGAAGTTATTGTTCAATGGGAAATAACTGCCCAACATATTGCTTTGCCAACAGGCAAATGCATAGGAGACGCATCTATGTTGCTTGATATGTTCAGCAACTTACCAAACATTTATCGTCATCGTCGTGTATCGTAGTCACAATAATCATGAGAAGTTTTGACCCGGACAAGAACAGCATGTGGGTTGTTATGTGTACAAAACACCTTGCGTATTTCACTCTGAAGAATGGAGAAATGTGTGGGCCATCGAAACATGTGGTGAGAGCATTATGCTAATAAAACAAAATGCAGTAAAGCCATTGCTGAATGGATGCAAATGATTCTGGACATCGTACTATTGACGACGCAAAGTAACTCTTAGGGAATAAATTAAAAAGCAGGAAAACGGACCCTCGCAACTGTGAAGCATATATCACTGAGGCAAGCAGCCCTAATGTGGCCCTAATGTAATCTGTTGGATAGGAAGTTAAGACTGTATTGTTAGTTTATAGTCGACAGATTACATTGTTCTAATAAACAAAGCCATGATTAAGCGAAACTCCGGCAAGCTATTAACGACGTCCTATATAAAATGGTGGACCTTGAGCACATTTACGAGTAGCTGCTGACAGGTTAACTGAATTCCATGCGAGCGAGTTTAACCAATACTTTATAGATTATGCCCCATACTATGTTTCAGTTGAGAAATAATTCGGGGGAGAACTTCAGAAGCAAAAGTTGACGAACCAGATCCGTTTCAGTGATCCTTCATCAGACAGTTACAAACTCAATTAAGTTGGATGGAATGGAACGAACAGATGCAGTACATCGAATCGTCTAATCGATACGGAAGGTGTATGGACCGCAGACAGTATCACTAGCAATGGCAATTACAAGGCCCTGACCAATCACGTCGTCTACTCAGTTGTGATTGAAATAGCCTGGCGACGAACCACTGAAAACCGGCTTACTCGCCAACTCCTGCTTATGAACCGGCGTTCCAAGTTAAAGTGATGGGGGTACTCCAGCCCTATATCAAACAATAGCATGTATAGAGACCCGGAACCGATTTCAGCCCAGGCTACACCAATCTAAATTCACAAAAAGCCGTGTTGATGGAAGGTGAGCAGTTGATAGGGGCTAAGGTAGTTTGTAAAGGTGGTACGCAAACATACACTACCCAGCAGCCTACACACCATAAGCATCATTCCGCAATATTGGGTGGATGTCATATAAGGATATGGTGGTAAGTTTAGGGATTCTTCCATGGGGCTCTAGTGTTCGGCCTTGTAGTCATTTTAACCTATTGATAACTGCACTGCAAAAAGCTATAGGGGCAGTTAGACAACGCGATGAGAGCAAACAAATCGCATGTGATGCGATGTGGGGCCTATAAACCACGCACAGGGTTTATCGCATGAATGCCAGTCCGAATGAAAAGATGTAGATAAAACATCTGGTTAACGTATAAAGGACTTCAGGCCTATTCTGTAGGTCAGCGTTTTTCACCCCGAAATCTATGTCGCCATAAGCTCTGCAACCAAGATAACTTCGTCATTCTCGAGGGACGAAGGTGAAGTGCAACTATACCACACCGAAACAAACCTAAACCACTCATCTGCATTCGTAGGCTCGATGAAATTCTAAACAAATCATCGACTACTGTTTCCACGTTTGCGCGACTCATCACTTTGCATGCACCAAAATATCAGGACAGCAGTAATGCTTAGTAGTAAAGATGGACAAACATTTGTAGGCATCTGTGTCGTCCGCCCGAAACAAACGGATCGCAGGACTACAGATGGGAACGTCCATTGCAGAGAGACAAAACACTGGGGCAGGTTAGGGCCGTGGTAAAAGCCTTTTAGTTCATCATGTCATCATTAATATTGCCGCGAATCATTACAGAACGTCATACCAGGTGTTTATAGGTAAACACCTGTTAAAATGCAGCCTCTTCTAGTAGGCAACTTCTACCATATTGGTTTAGAAAGTATGCTAGGTTACGAAACAGGCGACTTGTGTTAGAACTTTTTGATGACAAAGTTGTGGGGAAGGCAGGTTTGATTGGTGATAGCGCGTGGATATCAAATCAAACGACGAATATTGCAAACCCATCAATGACATACGGAAACTGGCAGCTTAGTTATAGAAGCTACGACTAACAAGTTCCCTATTTTGTACCCTAGTTAATGCTAGCCTAAATGGTCTTGGAGAAAATGCCCACCTGATCGCGGTGTGCGATTTAAGGGGTTGGTGACCAAAGAAATATCACAGCTATCAATGGGCTTACAATAAAGGACGTTGCTAAAGTGTGCTCTGAGTATGCAAACGTTCAAAGTGAGCTTTTGCTTCAAAATATAATTACATACACACAACAAGCTCTTGAATACCGAAAATTGTCCTAACCATCTGTCGGTTGAACAGCAGTTTAGGGTTTATTTTAGCAACACTGCTCATGAGACGTGAGCTTGCATAATGAGAATCAGTTGTATTTTTAAAATATGAAGTAAAACTAGTAGAAACTGGCAGTTACCACAAACACACTCACTTTGTGTTCTTTCCGACGTAAAGTTGAAATATGGCTGGAAAACTAGAGGAATATTATTGGTTGAAGTTGTGACCGGACACTAAATGGAAGGAATCCGTAAAAATACTAGGCTACGAGACAAACTAAGGAACCACCAAGTTTCACTACGAGGTGACAAACGACGATTATTTTGCTTGATGCCAGCAATAGCGGAATAGATTTTGAAATCCATTGAATTGATGGAATATTAAAGAGCAATAAGCAATCAGTGGGTTCCATTAAATATATACCGCCCGATTTCTAAGGTCATGTGGCAAACAAAACTACCTAATTGAGACAACCGTGGAGACATTTCTAATGCAACTGGCTTGAAGTTCATGCTAATGGGTGCAAAACAGTCAGGTGTCCTCAGGTGATAAGTGGGTGAGACTTAATCGCAATTATCTATGATATCCAGCATCACAATTTATTCTAAGCTATCCACCGTCTTCATCATCATAATTATACATGTAGGCTAATAGTGGAAAACACCTCAGCTACTGCGACGCAACAGAGGCACGCCGGCTGAGCTACCATTAACGGATGGACATCGTTCCGGATAGTTAGTGCCGGTTTTAGTGCCGCAAAAACATTGCATTTTACGTCAGAAATGGGATTGCGGCGGGAGCGGGGTCTAAGCTGGAGGAAAGGGACTACGAAACAAAACACAAACCCAATTGGGGTCGTATTCTAGCCATAGCAACAACTGTATCCAGCCAGAGGCCAGCATTATACTTTGTCAACTAACCAAGGGCTCGAGAAGCCTCAAGCGAGGTCAACTTCGAAATGAGGGCCTTCATTCACCAAGAGTAACTTATCACTTGGCCTCCTCTCCTCTTTTTCCATCCACACTCCGGGCGCGCAAACAATGCATATCGCGGGAGTCGGGGTTCTGACATGCGCAACACGTTGCCCAGCCATCGGAGTCTGATTTGTGATACAACGGTACTAAGTATTTCACTCGCTTTTTCTGCATCAAATGCACTACGATGAACACGCTCATTACTCACGCGATGTTCTTACCAGATATGAACCAAACGGCGAAAACACTGGGGATGCAACTTAACTAATCTCTTTAAACCTACCGATCTAGTGGGCCAGGTTTCAGAACCGTGCAATGGAGTCGAACGTACGGCTGCAATGTGCACTCTACCCTTGAGGGAGGCAACAATTTTGCGTCCGCGCCATAAGTGGCGAAGTTGGATAAAAGCGCCTAGAGCTTTTGCTGTGCCGTTCGTGAATTGGTTTTAAATTACACCAGCGCTGATACAATTGTTCAAGGAATGGAATTACCGAACGAATTCCTACTGATTCCAACAAGAATCAGCACAGGAGGTGATCCGTGCCAATTTTGCAGAAAAGCTTTGTAGTCTGAGTGTGTAAGGCAAAGCCCGAAACGGCTAACAGCCAACACTAATACATCTAGTGCAGCTTGGCAATTTTGTGTTTCGTTATATATAAAGGCTATGTCGTCCGCATACTACAAACCAAGCAGTAGTTCACCTTGGAGCAGCCCCGCACTCTCGAGGTCGTGTTCATGGAACGCGATCTTGTAATGATGGCTGAAACCTGGAGCGAAGGTTATCGTCATGGTAACGGCTGGTCCGACTCAGTGCACAAGAGGAACAGCGAGATTTGCGGCATTCAAGGAGCGAATTGGTCAGCTGTATGACGCAAGGGCAGCTCAAGCCGAAGTCCAGTTTAATGACACGTACCGCTGTATCCGTTAGCCAGTCGGGGAGGCATCAGCCTAACGGACCACTTGCAAATCAGACGCTCGCACGCAGTCTATCGGCCGTGACAACAACCCGGCTCGACGTAGCCGTGGATTCAGTAAAGGTCAATTGGTTTAACTGAAGAACGAGCAATTGGATGAGGCTAATGTAACAGGCCAGTTACAAATGGACAGTCAATAAGCGGACGACAGCGGAATAACGTAAGTAGTCACTTAAAAATCACCCCTTAGTAATGATTTATGATCGTCGCCTAGACTTTGTTCTTGATTCCTGGAGGGCTAACTAATAGCCGAGTTACTTCAAGTCAAAAAGTATCGCAACTTAAAGTAGCCCCACACTCTAGTCGTATTCACTGAACAACATCTCCATGGCTTCGTCAATAAGGAAGTTGAATAGGAAAGGTGGCAGCGGGCATCCTTGTCTTACGCCGATGGGGATAATATGGGCGGCGATAGCTTGCAGTAAGCCTTTACTCTGTCCGAGCTACGCGCCTATAACGCTCGTATAATATTTACATGTCGCATGGACACATGTTCTTGGCAGACGATACTACAAAACACACTGATTCACAGCAGCGAAGGCACCTTTGATGTCGTGGAACACAACGGTGGACCTCCAATATATGTGACAGTGCTCCATCAATTGAGGAAAGTTGCAAATATGATTAATGCATCCCGGACCTGGACGAAACGCAACTTACTCCTCATGAATTTGGCTTGCACGAGTGTTGGCCAGTCTGTGAAGAATAATAGAGGCAAGCAATTGGAAGGCGATGGAGATCAGACTAAAACCACCATGGTTGCCGCATTCCGAATGTGAACCTCCATTGAACATGGTGACTATACTAGAGCGGCTCCAGTCGGTTACGTAAGTGAGCACTTACACATTCCAAATGCTAGCCTATTTCGATGCGCATTCAGAACACCTGGTTTCACCGATTGGCTGATGGCTCTGCGCTCCCAGCGTTGTGTTGGGTTTCCGCCAAAATCGCAGCAACAAATCAGCACATACAATTGCATGGTCAGTGTCCACAAACGTATGTCAAATCGAGCGACAGTTTTGGACGCAGCAGCGCTGGCGTTAACTGAGAACAATTTGATTAATTTGCGTCTGTGACTGGTTCGAGGATTGTAAGCGTCATCTCTCCCTCCGGCGGATGGTATCTTGAAAGTTAGTTCAAGCAAAACATAAGCGAGCATTTTCACCCAAATAAGGTAATCGTTCAAGGTTATCTTTAGGGGAACCTACACTATATTGACCACCCAGATGCAGTTCATCAGTGTACAGTTTCACAAGTTTATAGTTCGAATCCCCAGTGCACACTACAGTATCCGTGCCTCTTGTGAGAAAGGAGCTTGTTCAGTTGATAGCAGAAGTCACCTTCCAACGAGTGAGCATCACAAGGTGTCGGCGCGTATGCAGCACTGCCAATCGAGAACCTAATAACCGCTCGCAGCGTCGAAACTTTGAATGAGCCAGCCAGTACTATGGCATATATACTGCTGCTGATTGTGATGCAATAAAGCGGAGCAGATTGCGCCCGGGCAATCCATGCAATGAGAACACTGTATTAGACAGAACTATACAATTCCTCGACCATGTAGTCCCCTTGGTCAACAGAATTCATCTGAACGGCAAAGGAGTTGCGCCTAGAGGCATACAAGCTGAGACTTTACCCAATTACGTTGGGCCTTGCGTGCGCCACTCACTTGTGTAGGTGTGGAGCTGTGCGCGTATAGTCTGGCGCCTTCAGCCAATAGGACATCATACGCACTAAGTCATAGTGGTGCGGTTGGTACGCTTCAGCTCCTACCTGATACAGTGTCGGTGGCCGATGCACCATGTGGGCCTTTGTTTCTCTGTAAAAAGAAGCGATTCCTACCAATTAGAACAAGAGTAGGGATTTGAATGACGATTGGGTTGGTATAACAAGCCACAGTCAAATAAGTTTATCGTGTCCATTTGAATGTGCAATTCACCTAAACGCAATATTTGGCTTGTATGTTTGGCACTCGAAAGTGGTGAAGAACGTCATACGGAAAGCGTACGAGGAAGGAGACGGTTGAAAACAGGTCGCTTGCACACTGAAAGTGAACATGAAAATCTGCCGCAACAGGATACGGACGTACGAATCGACGGAACCGATGGGGCAGCACGGGTAAGTGCTTCGCAGAGCACTGGGAGAAAGCTACGTCGACTGTCTGGTGGAGTGGGTTTCTGTGAAGCCTACCGTTACGCTTGAACTCTTTCGTTTGTGGTTGAAGGCGGAGTTCGAACTTTCAGTATGTACCGGCGCCGTTCACGATACTTGGGTAGTAGACTCATAACAATGGAGAAACTGCACACCCTTTCGGAGTCCATGAACACGCTGGAGAATAAAAAGCGACGCAGGTCATGAGTTTAGCAGCTCACAGATTACGAGGTGGAAGGAAGGCAACCGGTGCGGATTGATGGGACCAACTCAAATTTATTTTGCTCCCGCACTCGTGGCCGCTCACGACGTGATAGTCGAGCGCAATTTACAGTGGCGAACAGCCGAAGACCGAAGGTTTATCTTGTCGGCGCCATGACAAATAACGGTTTGATAGCGTGTTTGGTTCTGAGAGCAAGTTACAACAAGCAAAAGTGTGCTTAGTGCCTGCGACAAATGCTTGATACTAACGGAGCAGGATTTGTGGGAATATGTCTTTGCTTCGTGACAACCCGCCCTGTCACACGCACGTTGAACACCTTAACCTAAAGGAACCGTGTCGCTCTGGGAGACTTCAACGCCTTACGCCATACTCCTCAGATCTCATCTTATTGAGGACATCCGGAGTATAATAAATGCTCTTGTAAAACAGGCATTAATGGGACGGTACTCCGAGATGTTCCTGGGGGGTCCTGAGGCGTCATGAATAAAAGCGAGTGGCGGATTCGCTTTTGAAGCACGTTGTGTCTGAAGCCCGGGCCTTAGTGACGCAGCAGCACTGCCAACAAATGGTTCAGCATGTCAGTAAGAAGTATGGACGTGTTGTTCGTTTGGCCGATCTGTAAAACATTCTACTAGCAGTAAACTACCTGTTCTAAACGAGTGTTGTTCTCACTTTATTATGATGATGAGTCAGAGTGCACTTTATACCCTGCTAGAAATAGCCAGTCCTCTATTCGGGGGAACATCGTGGATTTTCGGTAAGTTGGTGCGTGTGGTCGAGTCGCATAACCGTTTTAGTTGCCGCGTTGTAGAACAATCATGTGAGAGGTTGACTAATAGGTGTCACTTTAACACGGTCGGTTGGCAAGCAATTATGTTCTACCGCCTGTCGTTGTGTTTGGAAAACCAGTGGATAAGGACCATGATAAGGGCATAATAAATAAGAAAATTGAACTATGCAGACTTGACGGACATGGATAGTGTGTGTCCGTTTGTCGGATTGCTTAGCCCGTTCCAACAACGCAGGCGGCTGGACGCTGCATGCGCAAAGCAGAGCATGTAGGGCAAACACAACTAACGTTTATCACTCTCTCTAGGGAAATATTTCCGGATGGGTATTTGTCAGTTGTTGACTGTATTCGAACACACCACAGGACTGCGCTAAGAAGGTGCTTTGAAGTCGCAAATAAAATGTACTCGCTTCGGCGAATCACATTTACTCGTCAGGTTGTAGCGTCTGCAAAGGGAGCAGTTGCTCCGCATGACGCAAACCGGTCCGTGTGTTCATATGACATTTACCATTTGCAAGTGGAAGTTGCTATTTCGCTTCATTCCAATTCTACGTGGGTAAATGAGAAGGTTAGAACCGGACATCTGTTACAAGCATAGCTCATAAGTGTTATCGTCATTCATCCACACCTCAGGCTCCGTCCTCCATCGCCAGCTGTGACTACACCATGCAGCTAACCACGAGATATAAATCAGGCGCACTCTCCATCTACCTCCGACTCCTGGTATTTGGTTAATATGAAACTAGCCAGCCGCCTAACGAGTATCTGTTTTGCCTTTCAACTTCCTGGGTCTTTGACGACCCAATGTACGCCCGGATACGGAATCCCTGGGTACTCTCGACATGACCCATATTATATTAGGCCAACCATCTGTCGAAACTTAGTTCCAGTATTGTTCTCGGGAAAATGAGCGGTTATCTTACGTCCTTAATTGCTATCGGCTAACATTACGCATGGTTTGCTGCCACACATACAAGCAGCCGCTTTTCATTCGGAACGTCATCTACATCGTTGTTGCAGTTCCGGTGTAAGCGGTTTGGATTTCAGTGCACTCGGTTTGAGCTTGGATAAGCAACTATCGATGGTTGAGGTATGGTGTCGTTCCTGGGCTCACAACACGTGCTCGTGCTTAATGACGGGGATTTGCGTTAAGTAGATGAAGAGATAACTCATCCGCTTAGAATACATATAGTTGTTTCGTTTGCAGAGGCACAGTACGTTGGTAGGTGCGTAGGTTGAAGCATAGCAATTTGTGAAAGGATCAAGGACCGCAAATAAAGCCAATAAAATGTACTCGACCGCCTGGTTGAACATGGGCTTTTCGACATGGCACCAGGGACGCTCCGCGCTTACGTATGGATTCAAATTAGATGATAAGCGCCTATCAATGTAAAGTAAGGGGGTCCAAGGATTGAGAGGTAGAAAGCAGGGGGATAAAAGTGAAGTTGGAACGTGAGGATAAGGGTGAAAAGCCAAAGAAGGGATATGAGAAGGTGGGAAGGCTTAAGCAGTAACATACTTACTTCTATCTAACTTGCTCGATGCACAGATAGGGCCCATGGATTATCCTCTGTGACGGCTAGGGCCTCGAGAGAAATGTAGAGACAGATTCACACAACAGCTTGATTTATTTATTCTATTAAACGATACTATAAACGCAGAAATTATGGCTGATCCGTACCGCTATTGGGAACAAAAAGTCAAAAAGTCCATCGTCAAGCTGAATTCACCACCATCATATAATCAAAGTAGACAAGATGACGTCGTGTCCCACTATCGAGACGATTTCACTTTTGCTAAGCAGTTTACCCGTTTCAACTTAAACTGTATGAAATGAAAAGAGTTAAAGTTATTTCGCAAAATGTGTCTACCTGGCAAGTAGTGCAAGCGAGTTTGACGTCGGTGTCATACCTTGCGGTTTGAAGTCCATGTCGGAGGTCACCTGCTTATGTTGCTACTGAAAGGTGGCACATAGATGTGAGAGAATCAAAAGCTACACAAGTGTAGTGGATACTGTGTTTAATTTGTTGATTTCCACAATTAAAGTTGGATGGTACGACGAACATACGTGGGGTTCATATTTATCCAAACAAAGCAGTCTCAAGCCAAATGTTTCGCATAGGCTTACCTAAGATTGTACTGTGTGAACAACGCAGCGAATTGGATCATGAACAACTTTTGAAAACGTTGTTCCTATCATAATGCATCTGTCAATTCAGCTACTAGACTAAAGACTCTCTCAGCACTGTAATAAAAGCTGATGCTAATCTGCAGAATTAGAGATGCAGGAGACCTCAGCTGAAACGCAGGAAATCGGCCAATGCTTGCAAATTGTGAGCAGATAGAAGTGTGGAGGGTTTCTCCATTGTTGTCCCCCATCGCTGCACTCCACGACGAGTTTCGTCCTTTTTGGGGCAAACAGATAGAGATAAGCTGCGTTTGGAGTAGAACTCGGACATTTTCGTTCGTGGCTATCGCCATGTAAAATAGGTAATTGAGCTCCGTCAGTAGCGAATGACAGCGTTTAGAAGAATGTTCTGTCTTGGAACACCTACCATGCGTCTTGGATTGTGAGACGCAATTTTAATTTTGGCTTCAGTTTGCTTTGTAGTTAGCTTCTGTTGCTATAAACACTGTGACCCAGTCCCCGTTATACGGCCCCAATGATCGGAATGACAGAAGCTGACTTCGAAGTCAACTGAGGCCACAATTTGGATTGCTTGTCGCAACCCAAGACATACGACAGGTGCTCCAAAACCAAGCTGTTGGATAGAAGTTGCTTCACATAAATATACTCGTAGAGATGCCTGCTTGCTTTGCTGAGCTTATTTTCTCCATCGATATTAATTATTGCCTGGCCAATGAAACTGTAGCGAGAAGACATAAGTTGTAATATGTCAACATATCGAATGTTTTCATTATTCGCAAACACAATACAAGCGGGATTCATAGGCAGTTATATACAGAGGAGAAATTGGCACATAAATTAAAATGTCAAATTCAAAACCACGGTAACCTACTTGATTATCTTAAATGTCCGCCCATACGCGCGCCTAAGCCACCGCCCAGTGACGACCCACACATACAACGCAAAGCCTGGTTCTGCATGACCTTCAGAGTAACCCTTCAGTCAGTTCGGCCTCTCACATCTTCAGTAGTTCAAATGCGGTTGCGGTGACATTTACACAGGCAAGACTGACCGTCAGTTAGCTCAGAAGGTGGCTGAAAATGTGGCGAGGTGGTTGGAACAACTGATGACGTAAGAAAACGGAGTGAATCCGAGGATGAACCGGAGCCCAGTATCATCTGTCACCAAGGAGCTCTTGGCAACTCGACATCAGGTGAATCCGGAGACTGCCTTCAAGGTGTTATTACGCAACAACAATCAGACAATGTTGGCAATTAGTGAGCCTTTGCTAATTAGGGATTAGCAACGTGCTGTGTGCCCAGAAACTATTGTGACAAGCAATTAGGTTACCATGATCTTTATTTAGACATTTTGATTCGCATGCCGATTTTTCCCCCGTATATAACTGGTTATGAATCCTGCTTGTATTGTGTTTGCGTCTGATGAGAACAATCAAAATATTGACATATTGCAACTTATGTCTTCTCACTGCTCTGACGCAATGGTTGAAGCAGACGCACAGTTTTACCAATCAAAGTGAGACAGATGGATCCCAACATTATTGTGTGCAAGAATTTTCTTTTACCCAGACATCAAACAACCTTAAGTAACATATAATCCACTGGCACAATCGAGTTAGAATCCACACAAAGACACCGTCATAGCTACAAATATCCCTCCGAAAAGGACCAAGTCGTCATCTTTCCTGTGATTACATTAAAAAATGTGGGTAATTGCATAGTATGTGACAAAAATCGTCAACTGCTTTCTCGAGTAGCAGAAATTATATGTTTGGCTATTTCGGAGTATGGACCCGTCCGATTTCGTGCAGTTTCCGAAACGAGGACTGGATCAACTTGAGTTGTTTCGTTTGACTTAACGAGAAGATTGTCTAGTTCACAGGTAGAATCTAAGCAATAAACGTTCGCAGCAATCAATCCAGCTCAATTCCTATTGATCGTTATCCTCTCTGCGTTGTGCATTGCACCACACGGACTCCCACGACGTGTGTTCTTTGCACGACGGGGAGTGTGGATGGAAGAAAAGGAGGAGAGGCCAAGTGGTGACTTGCTCAATAGGTATAAAGTTACTCATTTCGAGCTTGACGTCGGATGCTCTCTCCCGGCTGTAGCGATGGGGATCGAAGGAGGATGAACGTGTCTGGTTGCATACACTTGGTGGCATAGCAAGGAGTCGAAGTCAATGGGGTTTATGTTGTGCGTTTCTTTGTCCTTCCTTCTCAAGCTTATCTTCCTCCTCCATCCACGGCCTATGTATTAAAGCAGTACTTTTCCTGTAGTTTTGTATTTTCATACTAGTGTTCGGAAATGGTTAGCATCCGCTTTTTTGCAAATATCTGACCTTTTTGAAGTGTGTTTCTTACTTACAGCTAATGTGTAGTGTGGACGATGATTCTGACTCAATAGATTGGCAACCACGGTTACGGCTGGACAGCTGATGGGTGCAACCGGAGGAGCCATGAGACCTTTCGCTTGCGAATAACCAGAGCTTGGTTGAGAGGAATTAAGGCTGGCAGTAACCACATCGAATAAGTGCGACTCACCTCTGAATTAACACCAGATATAGGGTGCCAACAAAGCAAAGGATAGTCATTATAAACGCGAATCGAATTGACAAGTGGCTTCTGATAGGATTGTGGATTATGTGACGTATATCGTTTGCACCCGTTCCAATCTGGATGGGCAAGAAAAACGTGCGCAATAGGATGCAAAAACACACCAGTAAGGGGCAAAGGACTCTGCACGATTAATTTTAATTGCGACGCAAAGCACATTCGATTACTGTAACCACCATCGGCAAATTATTGGTCTATTGACGCAGTTGCCAATCTATGCAGTTCAGCCAAGCGATCTCCAGGACGCCTTGACAACGTGGTTGCAAACTGGACGAACTTCCGTCCCTTGTGTACCGGATTGGTTCTGTAGCTAATTGCCCATGGGTCAAACACATCCGCAGTCTATGAACAGTTACCAATCACGGGGACACTTAGTCATGACAACCACCTTAAGAACTTCAAGTAAAAAAGAAATTCAGTAACAATGAGGATCTTGCATGAACACTAGCTTCTTCTGAGAATCAGTTTATAGCAATTAACTGAAAATCCGTCATCTAGCTCAGCTTTCCAAAGTTGTAAAATGTGTAAAATATCGCACCCTGCTTCACAGTTTGAAAAACTAAGGGATTGCGAATTTTGTCACAGTTTGAATCGCCAGCCTCCGTTAGCATCCAAATAAACAAATGCGCGATGGGATCACATTCAATCCCAGTTAAGAGCAAGTACGGTCCTGTACGGAGGTCGATGCTCAGGAGGTGCTTATGATTGGTCTTCCTCAATGCCCTCTCACATGTTATCGCTTCGAACTCCGTACTGTTCACCGAGGATACCAACACATGAAGAGCCATTCGTAGCCAAGTAAATCATGCATTTCTCCAGCTTGAGTTGTACTGTGTCTTATAATTCGCGGATCAGAAATGTTCCCTAATTGATGGTGTGTAAATGTAAAGTGGCTCATACGAGCCACATGCTAGCAAGCATAGATAAATTTGCTAACTACGTCTCGCACAAAGCCATCCAGGATTGTAATCAAATGATAATAGTTCAAGAGGATCTTGGTTACTCAAACGAACCAAAGATGGAATCCGGGTTCAGTAATGAACATGTCGAAGTGACCACTACAAATTTCAACCAACACTTAACGCCAACACCAAACCAAAAGTAGAATACGCCATTGAGGCACGGTGCTTATGTCGGTCGCATGATTACACTGCGCTCGAGACTGCACAGCAGAAGATAAGGAATAACTCTAATGGTATCTTCTATCTGCCCTATGAGATTAGATGTATGGCTCTCCATGATGTAGTGAGCGGTATTGCTATCTAGGGGGACCTGAAGATGACTTATCAAATCGATTAAATCTAATAAGACTTATCACCCCCTCCTGAAACTTCGTTGTAACAACCTGAGCGACAAGCACCTAAAACTGATAACTCAGTATGCTCAGTTTCAGTGCTGTCAAAACCTCTGCTTCCAAATGTGCCACCCATGAAACACCATCATCTTTTACCTTGTCTCAGTCTCCGTGCTGCTTATGCATACCAAGTGATTTGATGATGCGTTACGTCAGCCACACTTCTCTATATGGCTCATGTCGGCT